CACTTTGAGTCTGATGTCTAAATGTTACCTCACCTGCTGGGAGAACTCAGAGCCCCAAAAATCTGCTATTCTGGTCAGTTGTTAAATTTGTCACTGTACATTAAGTCTGGAGTGGCAGGTCAGACGACACTTGAGTTACAATGAGAGCGAATAGTGCCACCTGCTGGAATGAATAGGAGAGGCGGAGGCAATGCCCGGAGCTGTCCATGGTCCTGTCACGGTCATTGTGTCCTCACTCAGAGGCAGTCATGACCCAGGTGTATTCAAAGGTCATTTCTGTCATCTATATTTGTTTCTGGTGCCAATATGCTGCCTTGTGCATTTCTTTCTTAATGTCTTTTTTCTCCTTAGAGTGATGCAATTTTCAAACTGTCATTAAGACTAGCTGTATTTCATTTTATTATTTCTCCTAGAATCTTTTGGAAATTAGACCATAAAATGATGGCATTGGAAGGGAGCTTAGAGATCATCTAGTTCAGTGTTTTCAAACACATTTTTGGACACAGGAACTAGAAAGCTATAGATGTCCCTCTCATTTCAGTCACCTATAAACTGAGGCCCCAAATGGTGAAAAGGCAAAAACTAGATTACTCAAATATACCGATTGCTAAACCATTCTTGTATCAGGTGAGAGGCTTTTAGATGCAATAAAAATGGCTTAAACAGCACTGGCCGGTTCGCTCAGTGGTTAGAGTGTCGGCCCGCAGACCAGAGTCTTGGGTTCGATTCCAGTCAAGGGCACGTACCTCGACTGCAATTTAGTTCCCAGCCCTGGTCGGGGTCATGCAGGAGACAACCAGTCAATGTGTCCCTCTCACATCAATGTTTCTCTCTCTCTGTCTGTCTCTCTCTTTCTCCCCCTCTCCCTCTCTGTTTCTCCCACTCTGTCTGAAGATAAATGGGGAAAAAATATATATCCTCAGGTGAAGATTTAAGAAATGGCTTAAACAATCACATACGTCACTGATAAGAAGGCTTGAGGTGGCTGCAGCAAAGCAGGGGCTGAGCAATGTCACCAAAACCCAGCTCATCCCATTTCCCCCTGTGTTCTGCTCGGTGTCTGGTGTTTACAAGTCGGGTTCAGCAACATTAGGAACCACAACCTTCACTCGAGATCAAGGGGCAAAAGAGAGAATTTAACTATTTTTTCTCTTATGAGCTAAGAAATGGGTCCCAAAAGGCCCCCTCAATAATTCTTATGTCTTACTGGCCAGGAGGGGGAAATACGTCTCATCCTAGTGAGATTACTGACAAGGAGCATAGAAATGCCATGTTTGCTTGGACAAATCCAGATTCGCCCTCTGGACCTGGGGGAGGGCCATCCTTACATGAGGCATGAGATTCTGTGGAAGGGCAGAGAGGCCTGGGCCAAACTGCATCAGCTCACACATAAAAGGGTGGGGAGTGGCTAACTGCTGGGGGCGTGGGGGGTTTCCATGGGTCTCTCCCAATTCTGCTTGACTTCTGAGCAAGAAGTAGCTTTGTCCATACCTTTGAAGGACGCATATACAGCCGACAGCCTTGGGAGAGCGTGTCTCCCTCCAAAACAGAGGGCAGATTTGTTTTCTGACCAGGATAACAAAGCTCAGGTGTCTCCCCAGGGCAACAGGTGAGCAGGTTTGCTGGCAGCCCTTTGAAAAGACTGCACTTTCCTAAGTTCAGAATTCTTATCCTCACCCGAGGATATTTTTCCATTTTTTGTACAGATAGAGTGGGAGGGAGAGAGAGGAAGGGAGAGAGAGAGAGAGAAACATTGACGTGAAGGGACACATCGAGTGGCTGCCACCCGCACGACCAACCAGGGCCGGGGACAAACTGCAACCGAAGTACGTGCCCTTAGCGGGAACCGAACCCGGGTCTCTCCGGACCGCAGGCCAACGCTCCAACCACTAAGCCAAACTGGCCAGGGCAACTAAGTTCAGAATTCTTGACACAAACTCCATCTGGGCCGCTCCACGTGCCCGCGTGGGACCTGGGGGACAAGGGAACCCCATGTGGACGGGAAGTTCATGTTTCCTGCTGCACTGTGAATAGGAGAGGTCCTTTGTCTCTGGCCCACGAGTCTCCTGTGTTCGGCCAGCATCTATGGATGGAACTGTGACAGGCCAACGTATCTGTGTGCGAGTCGGGTGAATCTCAGATGCTTCCTCATTCCTGATGCTAGTGGACAGGCAGCTGTTAGTATTTGCTACGGTGTTTCCAGTGAGCCACACTAGATACACCCACGTCTCAAATGCCTTCTTCTGGAAAGCGCAGTCTCCGTGTGTAAGAAATTCCTTCTCCACAGGCAGAAGCAGGGCAACCTTTCATCTCCAACCGGAGGCTCGCATTGAGCGAGGACGGAGTCACTGGTTCCGGTGTCTTTTATGCTGCCCCCTTTTATTCGCTCCCTGACTCTCTCTGTAATGATCTCTTTGGAAATGTCAGTTCCGCTCACCCCGAAGACCGCGAGCAATCAGCACACACCGAACTGGAGAAGTGTTTAAAGCAGCGTGTGATGCGCCGGGGAGACGGGTGTCTCCCGGGCGTCCCGGAGCGATGTCAGGGCAGCTCACGCGAAATGACTCCGGAACAGGGACCCGCTCCTCGGCTCTCACACGGGCCTCGCAGCCCCCTTCCTAGGGACGCACCCCAAGGGAAGGAGGAGGTGCTGAAACTGAATATTGCTTCAGCAAAGCCGGCATGGAGGCTCTTTCAGGGGTGTTCTCAGGGGACCTCAGTCTTGAGGTCCTGAGTCTCGCTCACTGTCCCCAGACTACGCTGCAGCAGAATCTCAGAAACCTTCCTTCTCGAGCGGGGAGCGTTGAGGTTAGGAAGACCCATTGTCCGGAGGAAGAAACAGGGGATACAGTGTGACAAGCGGGGGAAAGTATGGGTGTATTTCCCAGTTACCTTCTGGTCCTCAGAGTTTCTCTGAGTGGTGGCATTTAAAGACCTGGACAAGAATGCATCATAGCAGGAGGAGGGGAACTTAGAGTAGTATTTATCCCTCTGAGTCGAACCTGGCGGTTAAATCCAATTTATCCTTAGATTCTATCTCCCTGGTGGCTGCTGATACCTTGACAACAACACAATCTTTTCCACTTAGCTCAGGAACCCTTGCGTTCTTGCTGTTCTGACAACTCGCATTTTAAAATGCACCTGCTAAAACATAGCCCTACAGGGACATAACAGATCCCATCTGAAGACGAAGGATGCTTTCTCCCCATTGACTACACCAGAAAGATGGGGGAAGGGCATCTGGGGGCCGAGTCATAGGGTTGTCAACCTTGATGAAGGTCACAGGCCTCCATCAAGCCGAGTGACCCCCGGAGGCAGGAGCCCCTGATTTATCGGAGATATTCGACCGGGGTGTGTTCAGGAACTGCCACAGGTGTTTAAAAGAAAGTTCCCTTTCTAGGGACAGAAAAGATCAAAATTCCTTGGTACAATTAGGCTGATTAAATGGAGCCCTGACTTGAATATTCCTGTAGCTCAATAAAGTTAACACGGCTCCCAGAGGGGCCTGACCCAGAGGCAGGGAACAGTCTGCGTCCTAAGAGAATCTGGCCCACCTTGGTTTTTAAATTACAAGTCAGATTGCTTGCGACATCATCTCAAAATGGTACCAGTCCAGAGAAGCTGAATTTTCCATTAGCCCCAAGGGGAAAAAAAAAATTAAACTGCTTAGAGATTAGGCCAAGGCTTTTTGGTAGATAGAGAGACTAAATTCCTTCATAAGCAAAGTGAGAAAATCTGGTGGGCTGAGCCGGGAGCTGGGGGGAGCTGGTGGGGGAGGGGAGAGGGATGGGGGAGGGGCATGAAGCTGCCTCTCCAGCCGATCACATGACAAATACTCATTTAAAAGCTGTGTTTGTGAAACATGGAGAACTAAAACAAAACAAAAAGACGCTGAAATGGGAAGCCACCATCATCTACTTACAACTGGAGTCGCTGAAACTAAACGTCCGATCCATTTTCTGTCTTTGGAAGGTGATTTATTGTGGAAGGAGATTGATTTGGAGCCAATCTATGAACAAAGAATGATCTGTGTTCGGTGCTGGAGGAAGGGTTATGAAGGATCCAGCATCCCGGGGGGAACGGCCGAAGTGTGCAGCAGGTGACCCTGGCGGGGGCTTCTTCCACAAGATCCGAGCTGTTCGGACAGGGGTAGTCAGAAGAAGTCACAGGTGACCTTCACTCACACTTAGCAGCAACTCATGACGTTCAGCAGGAACTCCAGCAATTGGATTAATGAAACGAAGTTTTGCGAATCCCCCCAAAGCAGGAGCTCTTGACTCTATCTGTCAATACTTTCCAGGGAGTTTTTAAAAATACCAGTGCTTACGCCAGACCAGCTGGGGCAGAATCTCTGGGGATGGAGCGAGAAAATGTGTGTTTTATTAAGCTCTGTCCCCGGAGTTACTGGAGAGTTATGTTGGGTGTAGAATCAAAAAGATATGGGCTTAACTTCACCAGACCTTGGTTTCCTTATCTAGAGTCAGTGATGATAACGTCTCGGTAGGGCTCTAAGGATAAAGAAAAGAAATGTATGCCCTGGCCAGTTTGGCTCAGCGGTTAGAGCGTCGGCCTGCAGTCCGGAGAGACCCGGGTTCGGTTCCTGCTAAGGGCACGTACTTCGGTTGCAGTTTGTCCCCGGCCCTGGTTGGTCGTGCGGGTGGCAGCCACTCGATGTGTCCCTTCACGTCGATGTTTCTCTCTCTCTCTCCTTCCTCTCTCTCCCTCCCACTCTATCTGTACAAAAAATGGAAAAATATCCTCGGGTGAGGATAAAAAAGAAAAGAAAAGAAAAGAAATGTATACCTGGTCCCCAGTACAAGTCTCTCTTCCTCCCGTTGGTAATTAATGGCTAGTGATGGATGGAGATTGGATCCTTATTGCGATGATTTCGCCAAGTGACGGGCTTGGGTTATTTTTCTCTCCCTGCTTGGTCTCCCCTCTGTTCTTCCTTATCTGGGAGAAGGACACTCATGCGATTGTCATGCTTTCTGCTTCCGCAGCTGCCACGCAAGTCTCCTTCTCATTCGATGTCGGCAATGGGCCAGTGGAGATTGTGGTGAGGTCGCCCACACCCCTCAATGATGACCAGTGGCACCGGGTCACCGCGGAGAGGAACGTCAAACAGGCCAGCCTGCAGGTGGACCGGCTGCCCCAGCAGGTCCGCAAGGCGCCCACAGAAGGCCACACGCGCCTGGAACTGTACAGTCAGCTGTTTGTTGGTGAGTCATGGCCAGGCCCCCGCCGCTTCCCTCTGTGGGTTTTAATAACTTCCCCGGCAGAAAAAGCAATGCAGCCTCTGGAGTGTTCCGCCGGGGAGCCTGCTGGGCCTCTGGGGTCTCTTCCGGGACGGAGTGGAGTGAGGGCGAGAGTCCCCAGACCAAGTTCCAGCTCTGCCTGCCACCGCCTGGGGCTCGCAGCCCTCGCCTAGGGAATCGGAGGAGGGCCAAGGACATCTCTGAGGCCTCTGCCCTGTGCCTTCCAGAGCAGCTTAAGATTCTGTGATAATCCAGGGCACTTGTCACTGTGCAAAAGGAAGGGGGGAAGGGAGGGGAAGGGAATGGACTCCCTGAGTTCAGGTTTGCTCGAAACGATAAGTAGGAATCCACGCCTCCCCTTAGACGTCTTGCAAAGGCTCCTCCGACACTGGGGACAGGTCCACCCTGCGAAGCAATGCGAACAGCAGACTGTTGGGCAGCCTGTGCACAGAGGGGGTCAGCCGCACGGCCTGGTCTTTGCTGGGACCGAGTCCAGCTGAAGCCAGTGTTCCTTCAAGCCAAGTCCCCTTTCCACGGCTCGTTAAATTTTCCATGTTGTTTTCCAGAAAACGAGCAGGTGAGGAAATGAGCCATTTTCTCTCTGTAGAATGAACAGAAAGCAAGGCTGAGGGACTTCGAGGCTGGGGGTCCCCTTAGATGCCCCCCGCCCCCTCTGCGTTTCCAGGGGTTGAAGGATCAAGTCGGTCAACTGTGACAGGCGCAGACCAAGCAAACCCAGACGTGACCCGGCCGCCGTTCATAGGCGTGACGCCGCTGCCCCGCGGCAGAGACACAGCGGGGGTCAGTCCATGTTAACGAGGGCCAGAGTGCCCAGTGCCGTTCCTGGCTGAGTGGAGATGCTTGGAGAATATTAGAAAGTCACCAGAAGAAAGGTCAAGGTAGATATTCACCTGCTGGCTGCAGCCTGGGCCACGACAGACGCGTCAGCTTGGTCCCTCTGACTTATTCATAAGCCCTGCTCGCCAGGGGCCAGGACAGAGGCCCGGGGTGTGAAATGAAATACTGACTCCTCCGCCCCAACTCGAACCCAGCCCCTTCCAAATCCTTCCCTCAATTTATAGTTCTCAAGATTACACGTTGTTTTTTAAATTGTTTTCTATGAGGTCAGGATCAGGGTCACTGATTTCCTGCTAAATACTGTGAGCAGAGTTCACTGTATCCGTATATCCTGCCCAGATGGCCTAGGACAAGTTTCTTCCAAAACACTGTTAGCCCCACGCATGCTGGGTGGGTTCTACCCAGTTTCATCCTCCCAGGGACCTTCACTGACCCAGTTTCTCTTTTCTTCCGCTTGTCCCAGGATGTAGAGGTGCAACTTTACTTTCGCCCCTTTCTGTTCACTGACTAGTTGTCTCTAAGCATTTGCTGACCAAGACAAGTTGTAGAATGGAGAGGGGGCGGGGGGATTTATTATGATCTTGGACCATGTTTGATTTGTTTACACAACCACAAATACAAAGAGGCTCAACTCCCTTGGCGGGGACCGCCTCTGGATGGCTCTGGGGTTACAGGAGGGCATGCCTTCTGTGCGCGAGGTCGCACAAAACGTTCATTCTCGCGCCTTCAGGACCTTCTGCGCTGCACGGCAGGCCCGGATGGTGACTCGGGGGTGAAGCAGTGTCTTCAGGAGGACTCATGGGGAGCAGGGAAGCTCAGTAAATGACGACACTGTCCACCCCTTTTCGCCGAGTGCAAAATTTGGGGTCACCCTTGACTTCCTGTCTTTCCCACATTACTGCTAGTCAAGAGCAAGTGTATGATTCTACCTCCAGACTGTGCCGCAGGCACATACCCACATGCTTCTTGCTTGGACCATCGCAACTGGTCTCCTAACTGGACTCACTAGTCTCCTAACTTATCTCTTACCTAGTCTTCTAACTGAGCTCCTACCTGGTCTCCTTACTGGCCTCCTAACTAGTCTCCTAACTCATCTCTTAACTAGTTTCCTAACTGATTTCTTTACTGGCCTTCCAACTAGTCTCCTAACTAGTCTCACTAGTCTCCAAACTCATCTCTTAACTAGTCTTCTAACTGATCTCCTTACTGGCTTTCCAACTAGTCTCCTAACTGGTCTCACTAGTCTCCCAACTTATCTCCTAACTAGGGTCCTACCTTTCTCCTCACTAGTCTCCTAATTCGTCTCTTAACTAGTCTCCTAACTGGTCTCACTAGTCTCCTAACTCATATCTTAACTAGTCTAACTGGTCTCACTAGTCTCCTAACTAGTCTCCTAACTGGTCTCACTAGTTTCCTAACTCATCTCTTAACTAGTCTCCTAACTGGTCTCCTAACTGGTCTTCTAACTCATCTCTTAACTAGTCTCCTAACTGGTCTCCTAACTAGTCTCCTAACTAGTCTCCTAACTGGTCTCACTAGTTTCCTAACTCATCTCTTAACTAGTCTCCTAACTGGTCTCCTAACTGGTCTCCTAACTAGTCTCACTAGTTTCCTAACTGGTCTCCTAACTAGTCTCCTACCTGGTCTCCTACCTGGTCTCCAGACTCTTGAGATGTTCCCTGACTACCCCACGCTCACTCCTGCTTTAGAGCATTGGCCCTGGCTGTTCCTTCTGCCTGAGAGACACCCCGAACCCCGACGACCCAGCTGACTCCCTCCTGTCACTCACCTCTGCTTCGGTCACCCCCTCAGAGGGGCCGTCTCTGACCACGCCACCTAAAGTCATTTACCATGATGCCTTCTCCCTACAACTTGTAATCTTTTCATTTCTGTGTGTGTCCTCCCCAGAAGGCAGGCGACACGACAGCCGAGGTCTGGGGTGAAGCCACTGTGCTTGCCCCATGACGTTTGCTAAGTGAGTCTTTGAATGAGCAAGCGAAATGTGCGGTTTCGGTTACTTCTCTGAGTTCATCGTCATATTCAAGCTTAGCTCGTCCCATCTCCAAAGCAAAGAGGGCCTCAATCATTCTGGGCCCTCTGTCTCGTTTTCAGTCTCCCTCCCCACAACGGGGCTCCCCAGTTTGCTGGCAGTGACAAGGCAGCGGGATTCTGCCCCGACCCTTGTACCGGGCCCTGGCACTCACGCAGACACAGATGGCAAGTGACGGCAGGCCTGGAAGCCACTGCCAGGGTACAGAAAGAAAAGAAAATGATTTGCTAGATAAAATCTAGTCCAAAAAAATAAGTCACTGGAAGAAATCGATAACCTATCTACAGCGCAAAGATGCAAAGAAAGTACGGGAGAGTCCCCCCGGGAATGCTCCCTGTCCCAGCTGTCCCAGGTTACCGCCTTCACTCCGCCCCGCCTGCCCCTCCCGGGCTCCGCCTGGAGGCCACACGGGGTGGGCAGCGCCCCTCTCGGGAGACCCTCCCCCCCCAGCTCAGCTGGGGCACGGCGCTTCCCCGCTGTGCCCCACTGTATGTTTTCCCACCCTTTGCCCTTTAGCGGTCAGAACTAATTAACTTTTGCAGTCCCAGCTGTCTATTTTACGGTTCGAGTTTTCACATATTAAGGATGTTATGCTAGACCTACTTTTTACCTTTCTTTTCTAATATACTCCCCACATAATCCAATTGACAGTGTCCTTTGAACCTCTGTGAGCCCTTCACTAAAAGATCGTCTGCTAAGGAACTGTTTCCACAGGGCCTGAGCCCCCTTTCTGAGGCTGGGGTACATGTGTAGTGCCTCTGAGAGAGAGGTTTCGAACCTCAGAAAGGAGCCGGTCCTACTGCCCACCTTCTGTGCCAACTAGCGCCTGTGCCCCCAGCACACGGCTGCGGGGACCGGGGCCTGACACACCAGCTTCCTCCTGACAATCATCCATCCTAGGGGAGGCGTCTTCATTTGGCAAACAATATGAAAATAATTTTTCTTTTCAACAAATGGATCAAATAATCTCCCCTATTGATTTTTTTTAGTCTTTCAATAAGGACCGCAGCAAAATTGCCGTGATCGTCCATGGCACCTGTCACAGGAAAGGAAATTAGCCCGGGTGCCACAGATATGGGGGAAGGGGTGGGTACCCACAGCCCCGCTCTGCCCTGGGGTACTCTGAGGAAGCCAGAGGGAAGGATCCGCTTTTATTAGTTCAAGTAAACAAGAGTTTCCCCGCTAAATGCCTCATTCTAGCCTCGTTTTCAAGGTCCCCGGAGGGCTTGGGGGTGAGCATTGCATGGGACTCACTCCATCCCACGGTGCTGGGGCCACCTCCTGGAGGGCCCCGCATTCATACTTTTCCTCTTTTTGCACCATCCCCAACTCCATTCTCTCCCCATCGCGGGCACCCGACTGGGTGTATTTATGTCTGTCGTACATGTGTTCAAAATATACATATGTTCTGGAAAATTCATAGTTTTGCCTTTCGGGGTGGTAACCTACGGCACTCCGGCTCACTCAGCCTGATGCCTTCAGATCGAGGTAGCTCTGTGACCCGTCCGTTATGTGTCTGCCCCACACCTCGTCGTGTTTGTCCCGTTTCCTCGCGCGCTCGCGTTCATTCCCTCGAGATCACCAGGTCCAGACGCCACACGTTGTCCACCTACGCGAGAAGCAAATGCTCGGGCCTCAGCTTTGCTCCTCGTGAAACCACCAGTTCCCGTCTGTTCCTACCCTGACCCCTTCCTGTCCCCGCCTCCTCGTGTCCCCACACACAGCTTCAGAATCCCCCCACCCCACCCGGACAGGGAGGCGTCTTCCGCGGAAACGGACTCATAAACCAGCACCTGCCAAACCTCTTCCCGCTCACCGCCCAGGTCCTCACCGACAAGTATCTCGTTATCCTTTGATAGGACAGTCTCAAGAATGACCACAACGTGTAGGCTTTCCTGGCTTCTCGTTTCCCCAGAGCTCTCCAGATCGCTGCACGTCCCCAGCCACGCCCTCCCTGCGGTCCTGACCGCTGAACACCCCAGGCTCTGTTCTCAGCCCCCAGCTGCTCTGCCCACCCTCGCCGTCCTCGGGCATCCTGTCTTTTTTCTCCACCCTC